GGAAGGAACATAAGAGATCTACAAATGTACAACATGTTATGAAGAAGTGAAGAGTAGAAATTGACACACTACAGAACAGAAACAAAGGAACAAGCACAGACATTGCCTGTGAGCTCATATCTGAGCTGAAGGCACAGTTGTTAAAATGTGAGGCTAAAGAAAACACAAGGCTGAGACATAAAACATTAAGCTTTCCTTCTAATAAAAGGCAAGATGTGCATTTATGTTTTAGAAAGCAAATGTGCATTTATATTTTAGAAAGCAAATGTGTAACATTGTTAAGCTAGAAAACACAGAATAATGAAGAGAGAAGGTAAAAAAGCAGGATAGTGATAAAGCATGAATGATTCAAAGCAACTTTATTACGTCTAGGGAAGAAATGTAGACCTGACTAAATAAAAATGTCTAGAAAATTTGGCAATTCTGCCTTACTCCTTGTTAAAAGACTTAGTCTTTTTATTTTTCAAGCAGCCTACCATCCCTGGAGAGGTTAAAAAACAAACAAACAGCCACCCCAAAAGAAGCCAAGCTAGATTCTCCTGAACTGAATTATAAAGAAATGGAAATCTTTTCTGCCTAGGGCATCCTAAGTTTTCCCTTAGAAAAGGATACATCAGTAACCAAGGTATTTAAAAACAAAGTTTAGCAACTGGGCTCAGTTTTTGGCAGTTCAATACAACAAATGGTCTTCAAGACAAGTCTTCAAGACAACCTGGGTAGGCCCGGCTCTCTCCCGGGCCAAGATCAAACCACTGCCTTCACCTTCTGTGGAGAGGCTTTTCAAGGGCAGAGCTTTCAAATAAAATTGGTAAAAATTTAAAAAGGCGGAGAAATTGTCTGTAAGCAAATGTCCAAAATGTAAAAGAGAAAGGAGATTGATTAGCTGATTTTCAATCCTAATTCCTTTTGTGTCATACTTTTTTACACAGGAAACCAAGAAAATGAATAGAGGCAAGGCTTTGGTCAAGACCTAGTCAAAGTCAGATTAGATTTAAGATCTTTAAAATTATTTTTCCACATTTAAGCCACCCTTGTCTTACCAAAAAAATACATAACACATATGACTATATTCATGTATTATATTCAAACAAAGTGAATAAGTTACTTAAAATATTTTCCTGGATATCTTTGGATGGATATACGTATAAATTAAATTTAGAATTAGAAGGCACATTGTTTTTAAAAAGTAAGAAACAAGTGATATGAAGATAGCTGGTAAGGATAAAATACAGCAAGCCCCATCCATGTCTTTTATCACTGCTTAAAGAATCAAAACTAGAACTAAGCCCATGACACAGGCTATTTGCCATCAGTGAAATGAAATACTACTTTATAATCCCTAGAATAGCTATGATCAATGGGATAACAATAAGTGCTGGAGACCATAGGCAGACCCATTATACTTTACTGATGGAAAAGCAGAACAGTGTGATGACTTGATTGCTTTATAAAGTGAAATACAGAGCTACTCTATGACCTAGTGATCCTACTCTGTATACTTCAGAGAAATAAATATGTACATCCAAAATATATGCATCCATGTTCAGGGCAGCATTATTTTTTTAAAGCCAAATGGAGAAACAATTAACTGTCTATCAACTGATGAATGGGTAAAGAAAATATGTCAAACTCATCCACTGGAAGAAGTCCTGACACATGCTAAAAAGTGGTGACCTTTGTAGACATCATTCTAAGTGAGAAGCCATATGCTATGTGTCTTCAATGTCTAGCACAGGCTAATCACAAAGTATATAATGCTTTGGGCAGAAAATGGTGCTGATTAATTAAAATATGGTTTAAGAGTACTATATAAAAAAGCCAACCTGTGGTAATGGATATACAACGCTGTAGAACATTAAAAAGTATTCACGTATACAGTTTAAAGGGGTAAATTACACAGTATGTGAGTTCTATCTTAATAAACTTATTATAATAAAAATAAAAGAAAGGCTAGAAAAGAAAGAATAAAATTAAGTTCATGTTGTATATGTTAAATCAGCAGACCAGACCCACAATACTGGCCAAGGTCCTCCTAGGTTGTAAAAGTCTGAACAATACTGGCCAAGGTCCTTCTAGGTTGTAAAAGTCTGAAGCACATTTTGAGTAAAATTAAGAATAAAAAAATGTTCTTGGGAGTGAAAAAAATCCCATAACTTTTCATGCTACACTTTGCAATCTATATGTTGTTCCTAAATTAAAGTATTGCCCTCATTTACACTTTAGATAGATTTTTTAAAAAAAACTTTGCCAAGGATTGGGATTCTGGGCACCTAAGCAGAAAAATAAGCAATACCATCCAAAGGCTTAGAATTTAATCATGAGGCTAAGTACTCACACTTAAGCATTCCTCAGACAGGGTCAAGAAGCATTTATTATTCATTCACGTTTGCATGTATTCATCCATTCAGTTGGTGGACTGCCTACCCTAGCCACGAGGTCTTTGGGGTACTCTGGTGAATAGGGAAGACGCAGTGCCTGCCCTCAATAATGACCTTGCATGGTGACAAAGTAGGGGAACAGCACTGTGTGTGGCAGGTGTAGTCAGATTGCAGGTCATTCTCTCAATACCTTTCAGAAAGAGGCAGCAGCTTTCTACTGGCATAGCCTGTTCTCCTGGGCCACAGCTTTGCTCTTTTCACTCAGTCATCTCTTATCCATCCACAGCACTTTGAGCCACTTAATAAATATTAATTTGCAAGCTTCTATCAGTTTAAGAATGTCTTCCAGTGCATTTGATTAAGGCTTTCTTTAGTAATTATATTTATAAATGCTTACTGAATGGTCTCATGTGCTCACTTTCATCATCTCAAATTCCACACACTCAGCACTAGTCCTGAGCTGGCTCCCCTAAGACTGGCCTTCCATTCTCACACTTCAGGTTATTTCAACGGAAGCACCACTCCAGACTGCACTCAAGACTTCACAGTTAGCATAGTCTCTTCTTTCCTTACTAAACTAGTCTAAACCCTAGGAATCATGAATCCATGTCTTCTCCAATTTCTGCAGTACCCTTCCGGTTTGTCTTTCTTCTTCTTCTTTCTTCTTCCTTCTTCCCTCCTCCTCCTCCTCTTTTTTCTTTCTTCTTCTTTTTCTCCCCCCCTCCCCCTGCCCCCTCCCCTCCCCCTCCTCTTTCTTTCTCCCCCCTCCCCCTCCCCTCCCCCTCCTCCTCCTCCTCTTTTTTCTTTCTTCTTCTTCTTCTTTCTTCTTCTTCCTTCCTCCTCCTCCTCCTCCTCCTCCTCCTCCTCCTCCTCCTCCTTCTTCTTCTGGGGCTAGATCTCAGGGCCTGGTGCTGTCCTTGAGCTCTTTTGCTCAAGGCTAGCATTCCACCACTTTTAGGCACAGTGTCATTTCCAGTTTTCTGGTGGTTACTACAAGAATCTCACAGACTTTTCTGCCTGGACTGACTTGGAACCATGAGCCACCGGCACCTGGCTCCAGTCTTTTGACACTAATTTTTCCTTCCTCCAGTTCAGGATTCTGCTGCTGCTCCTGAAGAATGTTTTAAACGGAATGACTTTTTGCTTAAAGGATTTTCTAGTGTCTCCTCATACCATTAAGTGAGTCAAAAGTCCTGCAATCTCTACAATATGACCAATGCTGCCCTCTAAGCATCTGTAATTTTTACCAATTCCCAAACCAGTAACATTTCTACCATCTATTCTTCTATCAAAAAATAATGCACAATTCAGCCAGGCCACCCATGAAGGCCACATGGGCTGCCCATTTGTGACTCTGTCCCTACTTAATACTTGTTTGGCAGTTGGTCACATATTTTGTGGCTTATCTTTCCTTGGTGTTAGTAAGTCTTAGGTAGCTTTTCTAATGTTTTTGGTGCATGAGTAATTTTGTATAAATACTACATTCCATGAGAATAGTTCCTTTGGAAAATATCAGCTCCTAATATGCTCCATAAACACCATCAGAATCATTCTACCAAGTGCAGATAAATTTAGGTACTGGTCATTTAGTGATCGAATATTCTCAAAATTCATGCTTTGTCTGAAAAGTGGTAAAGCATTTAGATACCTATTCTAGTATTTTAACCTTGCTGGTGTACTGCAGGTCTACGGTATTGGGGGTAGGGATAAACGCAGGCTGTGCTATCTCTGTCTACCAAGCAGAGTGCATGGGGTTCAGGCTCTCAATAAATGTCTAATGAAATGAAAACTGAGCATGAGAACACCAAATATTTGTGGCAGTATCAGGCACTCTTCTTAATGTAATTCATCCTTCAAAATGTCATGAATTTAGAGCAAAGAGATAGACTATATTAAAACCTGCCAGGTTCTATTGTGGTGTCTTCAGAGCTACCATATTGTACTGTGGGTACTGAAAATAAACATTTCAAGTAATTCTTTTCTGAGTATGAGAAACGTGGTGAAAGGCTTGATTTGTATAAGTGACTAAATAGCTTTTCCAGATTAAATGCTACCTTTCTCTGAGGTCATCCTTCTGTTTCTGTATGATGGAAAAGAAAAATTTCAGGGTTGATAATAATTTTAAAAAGTTACTGGCAAGTCTTTATAATTTATAGACAAAATCACTCATTCATGTTAAAAAATTAGCATCTTAAAAAGTATAGAAAACTGCGGCTGGGAAGGTGGCTCAGTGGTAGAGCGCCTGCCTTGCATGCCTGAGGCCCTGGGTTCGATTCCCCAGCACTACATAAGCAAAAAGAAAAAAAGCCGGAAGTGGCGCTGTGGCTCAAGTGGTAGAGCGCTAGTCTTAAGCTGAAGAGCTGAGGGACAGCACCCAGGCCCAGAGTTCAGGCCCCACGACTGGACCCCCCCTACCCCCCCAAAAAAAAATGTACAGAAAACTACTTGATCATGTTAAAAATTAAGCATGTTAATAACCAGTGTCAAAACACCTCAGTAGTACCACTATCAAAGGCTATGCTGTGTTTAGTTAACCAAGAGTTAGTAAATTAAAGAGTAGGCTAATTGCTTTTTTTATATGAATAAAAAAACTTTTTATATACTTAAAATAAAAAATCATACCTGTTGATCTCCAAGGAAATGACTTCTCAGTTGAGCTAAGGAGAGAAAGAAGGAAAAATATTATTTTCTTGGTTATAAAATTTAACTGTAGACTTGTCTTGCATACTAACACTTTAATTCTCATATTGTTATATACAAGTATAAAAAAATCCAATAAAATTAAAAATTACCAAAGTTGATTAAACAATATTTAATTTTCCACATCAATTTGGAGCAAAACTTAATCTCCACTTGGAAATACAGGAAAATTACAAGTGACATGAGACAGGGTTGTATGTGTATAATTATGATGGAAATATATTCAATAGATGTATGATAACAAGTGAAACCCAGCAAGAACTGTTAAAAGGAGAAAGAACAGTTAAGAAAGAGTAATACAGAGGGGAAAGAATTTGATCAGAGTATATTATATGTATCCTCTGTACAATTCATCTATGATACAGTATTTCCTTTACATAAGATAAAATAACACAACTAAGTAGCATAGTAATGGTATTTATATGATATTTGTGATAACATGAAAACTACATATATAACATATACATTTTAAATAAATGATGCTCAATAGACACAAAAATTAATGGGGGTCAGTTTTGGATTGGATGTTGCCTTATAAAATTTAAGTCAAGGCCAGGTGCCAGTGGCTCATGCCTGTAATCCTAGCTACAGAGGAGGCTGAAAACTGAGGATCACGGTTCAAAGCCAGCCCGGGTAGAAAAGTCCATAAGACTCTTATCTCCAATTAACCATTAGAAAACCAGAAGTGGTGCTGTGGCTCAAGTGGTAGAGCGCTCTCGCCTTGAGCTGAAGAACGTGGGGACAGCGCCCAAGCCCAGAGTTCAAGCCCCACAACCAAAAAATAAAAACAAAAAATACAAAATAAATAAATAAAATAAAATAAAATTTAAGTTATAGCTTTTACAACCAGGATAAAGTTTTAATTACATTTTTCCTTGATTCATAGAGTATTTAAAAATCTTGTATATAAAAACCTTATCTTTGCCTTATAAAATTTAAGTCATAGTAATGGAATATTATAAAAAATATAAGCTCTTACAACCAAGATAAAGTTTTAATTACATTTTTCCTTGATTCACAGAGTATGTATTTAAAAAATGTGTAGTTCATTGTTACTCCCTACCATGCCCCAACAACACAGAACATCACAGTATTAGAGGACAATGCAGTAGAACACAGGAACAATAGTCTGGCCTACAAAGTATTTACCATATGCAAAATTAAGCACTTCAAATATATTGTCCACACCTTACATATATTATCATTTTTTTTAATTTCAGAGAGAATATTTTGGCAACTAAAAGTGTTGGGTTCAAACCCAAGATGGTCTTATTTCAAAGTCAATTCTCTGATACACTGTACTTAATAGCACAATAGCTCCAGCCTGTTTCTGTAACACACACTTGTGCACAGATATATATCCAGGGAAAAGTCTAGAAAGATAAAAAGGTAAGTAACTGTTGCTGTGGGACAAAAACACAAACAATTCAAATTTGTGTTTTTGGCTTTTAAATTTTTTTGGCAGTACTGGGGTTTGAACTCAGAGCCTTTTGCTTACTAGGTACTTGAGCTACAACCTTAGGGCTTCAAGTGTCGCCTCCCCATTCCCCCAGCTTGTACTTACACTAACACACACACACACACACACACAGAGGAATGTTTTTGATGTGCTTAGTAAATTAATGAAAAACATGTGTTATTCTCGTCTTAAGGAAACAACCCGTAAAATTAAGAACCTGGAACAAACTAAGAGAATAATTTTAGTGCTACCACTCTAAGTTCTTGTTAACTTCTGGTTATTTTCCTTGAGCCACTAAGGGGTTAATGGAACTTTCGCCAGGAGAAAACCTTACATTCAGTAAGATCTTCCCAAGCTTCAATTGTGTGTGTGATTTGCCTTTTCTTTGTCACAGATGTGGCAGCTCCCAGCCCAGAACCATGGAACTAGCTGCAAGCAGAGACATGCTGCTGTCAGTGAATGAGGCCAATCATTTGGTGCTGCTCTCCAGAGCCTGGCAGTTCTCCTTTATCTGAGGCACTCTGAAGTGATTTCAAAAGGAGAAATCACTGATGAGGGGAAAAATGGAAATTTGGTCAATGCCAGTAATAGCACATTTATCTTGTTCCTGAGGGCAGGTCATCATGGTCTGGGGGTCTCCAAAAGTGGCTCACTACACTGAATTTTGATGTCTTTGAATTTGTATTATCTGACTCTATTACCTAAATTACTCTCCAATTACACCAACACTGATGTAACTCCACTGCATCAACAATCAAAACTAGCACATATTGTGCCAATATTAGAATATAAGCTGCTACCCAGAAATGTTTACTATATCTTAAGTTTCTTGGGGATGCAATAAAGTTTATGAGATTTTTGTCTTTAAAGTTATAAATCCAAGAATAAAATTCAGGGTAAGTGACAAGCAGTCAGAGGCCATTGCTGCTTTGTTCTTGCCTTTATTTCGAATAGGTATCATATCACCCGAGGCTCAAGAGATTTGTAATCTATATTGTTGTTATAAGACTAACTGCGAAACGTATAAACCTCTCCATTCTACTGAATTGTCAGGTATGCTTAGACTGGTTATTAGTTTGAGCAAGTCCAGTTATCTTCCCTCTGGAGTCAGGAGGCTCTAGCAATCTTTGTCCTGTGTGACAACCACAAAAACAATATTTTTTGCTGCTGAAAAGGCCTTTAGTAACCAAAATGTAATATTCCTAGGTACAGGCAATGGGAAGCTCTAGTTAAAATTAATTTCCCCTATCCTAAGGCAAAAGATAATTCCATATTATATTATTCAAATAAGATAATAAGGTTTAAAAATAGGCAAAATCTCTATGACATATTTCGAAGAATATATAGTTTGCCAAATTATCTTCATACTAAATTAACTCCACACTAAATCCTAAAATGCTATGTAATGCTGATTATGTGTTATTCAGGAAAGATTACTTTCCTTTTGAACTACTCACTGTATTTTCAAATTGTTCAATGCTCTGTGATTCAGGGATTGCAGAATTAAAAAAAAAATACAAAGATTCTGAGTTGATGTTTAAGTAACTGATGTAACTGCGTTTTTTTTTTTTTAAAGAACCAGACAGATCTGTGTTAGAGGTAGCTTCATGCTAGAAGCAGAGGCTTATTTCCTTTTTCTTCTCTTTCCAAATCTATTCCTAGAAACACTTCCCAACATGATACTGGATGTCTACAATGTGTCTGCAGGCTCTGTGCCCACAAGTGACTCTATCATTCTTTTCCACATCTCTCCTGAAGATGCCAAGCTGCTTGTGTTCTAAAAGCTGCCAATGGAATGTGAAAGGCATTTTAAAATCCAAGAGCCCAGTGATCCATCATTCCTTTGTTTCGATAGGAAGATGTATTCCTAGTATCAAATACCTTAATTACCAACAAACTTTTGTAGGGAAATCTTTTCATAAGTTTGGGATTGTCTGATCAGACAACAAACAACAGTTAAAAGTAAATTCACAAGCAAATTAATAACTCAAAGCAATTCATTTTAATGTTAAAAACTAGTTTTAAGGAAGAGATTATACATTCACCGTTATATACATGAAAACAGAAAATCACTGTAAAATTCTACACACTTCTGAAATTCTTTTCATTCAGATATAAATGGAGTAGGGTGGCTCACCCTTGTATTCTTAGCTGCTCAGAAGGCTGAGATCTGAGGATTGTAGTTCAAAGCTAGCCCAGGCAAGAAAAATCTATGAGACTCTTTATCTCCAATTAGCCATCAATAAACCAGAAATGGAACTGTGGCTCATTGATTTTGAGCAATGAAGCTAAGGGACAGCACTCAGGTCCTGCCTGGTTCAAGCCCCAGTACTGGTATGTAGATGCACACATGCACACACACACATGACACAGATGGACATTACAGTTGTTCAATGTGGCAAGCTAGTGGCTGAGGGTCTACAATAAGGCTTGTGAAGTGAGTGAACACTGGTCCTTGGATACTTTGATTGACAATCTGGCTCATGAGCCTTCCTAGAAATTCTGTGAGTTGCCACCAAGTACTTTAAAAATTATTTCGTTTTCTACTTATGCAAGCTGGAGAGGAATCTATGACTGGCAACTAAAAATGTTGACTAGCATTTTCTTAAACACAAGCAGGTCCCCTGAAGGAAGTGCCAGCCCTACTCCTGAGCAGTAGACGATATTTCCAATAGCATGCTATAAAAACTAGGTCACAACATACTTCATACTCAACATATTACAAAGATTAATTTTTTTTTTTGGTTGTTGTTGTTAAGGTACTAGGGTTTGAATTCAGGGCTTTGAACTTGCTGGATAGGCACTCTACCACTGTAGCCACACTTGTCCCGAATACATTCCAAGTCCCTCAAACAGAATGTCTTTTAGTTAGTCCTACACGGCCATACTGAGGTACAGAAGTCATTGTGTTAACAGTTCTCTCCGCTGTGTGTATGTTCTTGGAGGACACCAAAAGTTGTTAGAGACTTAGGCCAGCTTCTGGCACATGCTATCACTGAAAATGTCATCTGAATTACTACCATCTCTACTACAGTTTGGGTCTCCATCTTCTCATCCTGTTTTCTTTCTCCTAAATGTTTTCTTTTTTTTGGCTTTGATCTCTCATCCTTTAAGTCATTTTTACCTTCTGTTACTATAGTGATTTTTTTTCAGACTCAGAGTTACATTATATTCCCATATGGAATGTAAACAAATCCATAGAAGACAATTGAAACACCTTATCTTAGGGTGGCCCAGAAGGACCTTCAGCACCTGATTCCTTCTAGTTTGCCCTTTTCCACACAAACCTATATTCTAAGCACTTCTAAGTACTTCCAGTTGCCTGATACACAAAGCTGCTTCACACTTTCAGTGCTATTTTTGGAGCAGAATATGCAGGAACAGAGTCTGGAAATTATTTTAGAGTTGTTCAAATTCCAGAATGGTTTATTCCTATATATGTATATGCATATGTATATGTGTGTGTGCACATGTATATATGAGAAATATATATAGTCC